AATTTCAAACTTTTTTTCCTTATTGTCTCCTGTTGTTTACTTTCTGATTCCCTTTCTTTTGATGATGGTTTCTCTGGAGGGTTGGAACTCAAAGCCATCTCAACCTTCTCACACTCTGGGCAATTTATGGTTCACTAGCCTTAGTCTCTGTCCCAAGTGACTTCTGGGGGAACAGAACTGAATGTAGTTGGATGCTGGACTCTTTTCCTTCAGGCTTAGTGGAGTGCTTCACAGCCACACATTTGTCCTTCCTGAGTTCTATGGTAGAACTCTGTGGTAGCACAGAGTGCTGGTGTACCTCTGATGGCTATCACAACTTGACCAAACATATACTGTTTGCATCTCCTCAGCAACGGGACAGGGGTAGATTTGAGAGTTCTGTTGCAAGCCCATGGGTCAGCTTGTGCATCCCTGCTACCAGAGTGTGATGGGTGGCGGGAGGAGGGGAAACAGTGAATAGGTTAAGGGTTAGGAATTATTAGGCTTTTTTGTTGTTAGTTTACTGAGTTTTTACCTCATTTAGGTTCTTGTTGTCTTAGTCTACTCTATAGGGACAATTCACATTACTTTATCTCTTGCACTTAGTATCTATTGTGGAGAGGTTTGAGAGGTCATGAAAGCCAGAGAAAATGTCTAGTCCTTTATCTTGTTGGTTATGTGACTTGGAAGTCTGTAGCTTTCTTCTAAAAATCTAAAGTGGTTGATGAGTCTCCTGTATAGCCACATCCATCTCTTTAGACAACTCCTATTTGAGATCTCTACCATCTGAAATCTCAAGGATAAACTTAGTTTTATTATTGACTTATCATTCTTTTGCCTCATATGTTCCATTAGTTGCCAAGTATTGTCATTTCTACCTCCATAACATCTTGAGTGTCTGTCCCTTTCTCTCTACTCATGCAACACTCTGTCACCTTTTCACTTATTGTGTTCTATGCCTGGAATACAGTCCCTCTCTCTTCCATCTCTTTGAATATTTTGCTTCTGTCACAACTCAGTTCAAGTGCCATCTCATAGGAGAAGCCTTTCTTGTTTATCCTAGCTGCTAGTGTCCTTCCTCCAAATTACCTTGAATTTATTTTGTATGTATTTATATCAGTACATGTTGACTTCTCTGATAAAATAAAAGCTCCTTGAGGGTAAAGGTTTTCTTTTTAAAAAACCTTAATTTTGGTATCTTTGGTTTTTATATCACTTGTATTTCCCTTCCACCCCTCTCAGAGAGCCATCACCTACAATAAAGAGAAAAAAAAACCTCAGTTCATTAATACTAATAAACTAATAAAAAAAAAGTCTGACATTATATGCTGTGTTCCACACTAGTGGTCCCCAGACTTTTGCAAAGAAGGGAAAAAAGTTCCTTCTCACATCTTGGAGACCAAAAATGATCATCCTAACATCACAGAATTTTAAAAAAGTCATTTTGTTCTTATTGTTCTTTCAATTTACATTGTTGTAATCATTGTGTATATTGATTTTCTCATTCTGTTTACTCTCTGTTTCATCATCACCTGTCTTCCATGCTTCTCTGTTTTCATTATATTCATTGTTTTTTACATCACAGTACTCTTGCCATTCCATCAATATTTGTTTAGCAATTCCTCAATTGATGAGTATCTGCTTTGTTTCTAGATCTTTGCTACTGGACGCTCATTTTTTTCTATGACTCCCCAGTACCTAGTGTAGTGCCTGGAATAGGCATTTAGTAGATGCTTGTTGATTGGATGACTTTTTCCTCCTAAAGACTTAGGAGGTAAGTCCTACAGCATTGCTTAAGTGACTTGCTCAGTCCTTCAGCAAACAGATGTTAGAAATGAGATGTGAACCAAGGTCTTCCTAATTCTAAAGACCTAATTCTATGCCCACCACTCTATTCACTATGCTAAGCTGCCTAGGTGCCCTACTAACATTGGTTCATAAGTGTAACATTATTATTCCTTATATTTTGATGTAACTCTCCACTCTTCTTTGCCTCATTCATTATTAATACACTTAACTTAACTTTATATCTTCACATTGATAAAATAGAACAATCATTACCTAAGAGTTATGTTGTGAAAAGGAAGATAATCTTATTAGGCAATTATATTAAATAATTATATACATTCCCTTTAAACTTCTAAAATTTTATGGTAACATTGAACAGCAATATTGTTCATTTTATGAACTTAATATATAAATCAGTGAGGTGATTTTTAAAAAAATTTACTAAGCAGTGTGTATAGATTTATTTATATGTGTATATTTGCCTCTGGCAGAAAAGGACAGCATAGGGGGAAACCAAACAGAAACTGAGAAGGGAACTCCCTTCCTACAGACAGACTAAGCACAACATAAATATGAATCCCAGCAAGGAGAGAGCAATAGGTAGAGTGCCGGTATTGGAATCAGGAAATCCTGAGTTCAAATTCAGCCTCAGATACTCCCTAGCTATATGATCCTGGACAAGTCCCTTAACCTCTGTCAATTTCTTCATTTGTAAAGTGGGGATAATAATAGTACCTACTTCCCAGGGTCGTTGTGAGTATCAAATGAAATAATATTTTTAAATATTAACACAGTGCCTGACATATGGTAGTTGCTTAATAAATACTTGTTCCCTTCCTCTCCAAAGCTAGAAGTTTTATAAATAAATTAACTTTCACAGTTTTGCTTAAGTCAGCTGATAATAAACGTAATCTAAACCATTTCCCATATTCCTTCCCTCCACCCCCCTTATTCACCAAAAATTTAAGTAGAATGAACAATAATGTCTCTCAAGGTGGAATGAATATATGGGAATCTGGCTTATATAATTTAGGGAGAAATAAGTGTTTGAAAAAAAACAGCTGTTTACATTAGTAGATCAACATTACTGTACAAATATAATTATCCTTGTATAAGAGGTTTCAAATAAGCACTCAAAGACTTATGCCAAGAATATTATTGTAGGTCTCTAGTTTTCTCTTTTAAAAAATTAGAAACAACAAGAAAGTATCCAAATTGACTCTTGTAATCCATTTCGGTAGCTTTTAAAAACCTCTTACTTTGCTGGGATCCTGTTCTTTGTTTAAATTTTGTTTGACAAGTGTTTTATAAATGATTGTAAGAGGTGGTTTATGTTTCATTAACGAGGCTGATAATGGTTAATTACTAAAATGGAATAAACAATCCAATTCCAGATCAAGCAGGATGGGTCAATTATGTAGAAAAGATCCAGCTGTGCTGAACATGATTTCCTTTAACCATTAGAAACTCCAAACATTTGAAAAAAAAAAAAAAAGCTTAATTGGTTGGGGGAGAGTGACTCCACCTACCTCTTAGACTTATTTCTTGGGTCTCTCTGTTTAGAGTATTATGCTTAGCCCCGCCCCGCTCTGCCCCCTTCAAGGCACAATAATACAAGGCGAAATATACTCTTATTTGTCCTACGTTAAGTGCTAGTATCTATAGATCTTTCAGGACATTCAAGTGCGCCAAATGGCACTACCCAGGCATTCTTGCCCTTAACAAAGACTCCAGCTGCAGATCTTTGGAAAAGCATCGCAAAATGAGAGAACATTTTCTTCTTCTACAAAGTATGACTTGAAGGCCATTAGTGGTTTGTGAGGATATTTCAGGTAGTCCATCTTCTGCTCTCTGGTCTTAGTGTATATAAGGGAACAATTTAGTTATGAAACCTGTCGTTGGTATCTTAGCAAAAGAAATGCCAGCATTTTCAATGATTCTGGTGAGGTTTTTGTCATCATTTTTTTGTTTCGACGGGTGGAGTGTGGAGACAGTAGTCTATAGGATCTTTTGCTCTGGGAAAGATTTCCTGCAGAATAAAGAGGTTGAAAATTTCAGAATTGTGTTTTCACAATTTGTTTTTCCAGTTTTCCGAAATATGTGAAAAGTAGTCTCTCCTTATTGGAGATCCAAGGAAAAATGGGTTTGTCTGGGCAAACTGACACTCTTATCCCCAATTATTGCCAGAGGGTTATGCATTCTTTCCCTGGTTCTATTAAGGATTGTATTCAAATATGTGCCTGTATAGGACCCATTAGATTAGTTAAATTTCTGAATTTTAGGTATAAATAGAAGCAGGATTTTAGACGAAGAAATAAAACACAGGAGGTCTAATGTCCTGCTTCTCAACATGTTAGCCATGGGTGAATTTCACAGGTTCTTTAAAAAAAAAAGCATGCTAGATTACTTATTCCATGAGATCCTATCTGATCATAAAGCACCAGTTCTGATTATCTGTCCTTAATTTCATATTTCTGTACACAGCTTAATATTATATAGGAGCATAGATTAAGACTGGAAGGGACAGTAGAGACTTGCCCAGAGTTACTGGGCAATAATAAATATCTGAGCCTGAATTTCAAGCTACGTAACGTAGATCTTCCCAATTCAAAGTATTCCCAGTATTCTATAGAAGTCAAAATAAATCCATCGTATGGGACCTTCATTTAGTAACCTTAGTCATGTGATAAAGCCTAATTAATTTAGTCTAATAGGGAAAGGACAGTATGAATTCTTGAAAAGTTTGAATCATAGACTATTTAAAGAAATACATTTACATACAGTAAAGAAGTGCAAGTTGGCCCTGGGCTGCTTTAATGAATAGATATATCCAACTATGAACAACTAAGCTGCTGAAATCCTAAGTATCGCTTAAACAGCAGCCCCGAAATCTTGTTTATTCTAATTTACTTAGTAAATACTTTCATCTTAGATACCGTGAAGATAAAATTAGGGTTGAATATCAGAAATTCTGAATTTGTAGAGTCTGAATTAATGAGCTTTTACTGTGTACATTACCTATTAGTGAGCAGAGATACCAATGTTTTGCAACCAACATGGGAGAACGTCAAAGTCTATCAAGAAAACAAAATATTTATTAAGTAAATAATAGAGAACTCTGGGAAAGTGTGACGTGAAGGTCCCAAAGGCCTCTATCCCTGATGATCCAGTTATTATTTGATTTATGTCAGCTTGTAGTTGCCCTTGTTTTGACCCTAAGGAGGACTGTGTGGGAAGTTTGTCTCTCAGATAGAGCAGAAGCATTGCTCTGTAGAATGTCTGGAGCCTAAGTATATGAAAAAAAAAAGAAGAAAAAAAAAGAAAGAGGAAGAAAGAAAGAAAACCTAAAGCCTGATAAATAGGCGAAAGGCCCAATTTGCTCCAGCTGGATTTCAGGGAGTTGAAGTAATTGCTGAATCATAATATACTCCACTCTGTGTGGAAGAGGACAGACTGTAGTTTGGTTTTCCATCTGTGAGTATTTTATTTATGCATTCAAAAGAACTATGAATTTTATAATTCCATGTTGTCTCACTTTAGATTGCACATTATTTATCTGTTTGCAATGCCATTTGTTTATTTGCTTCAAACTGTAAGTTAAGCTAGAGAACGTAAGTGAAAAGCTGATACCTTTTTTAGACTTGAAGTTTCCACTTTTGTTAATTTAATTTTTATTATATAAACAAATATATTTTTAAAAAATGTACTAATTCTTCAAAAGAATATATTTCTTCATAAAGATAAGAAATATAAATACAGGAAACTATTAACAATTGTATCCTCTAGAATTCCAAGACATGGCTGTACTATGCTGGGACTCAAGATGACTTGGAATATAATAGAATTTTGGAATTGTAGGAGACGATGTGACAACATGTTAGTGAACTACTTAAAACAATTCTTTACTATAAGGAATGAATATGCAAAAATCCTTACTTAAAATATTTACAAACTCCAGGAAACCCATGGTTTTCTTTTTTGAAGCAATTTCCATAATCTTTATACACATATTCAAACATTTTGAAATATAGTTTTTAAAAAAAGCATCTTTAAGAGAATCAAGTCTATGTTGCAGAGATTATTGTTCTACAAGTATGAAAATGAACCTAAATAGGATAGAAATAGAAGGGAAATTTGGTTATAGTCTACTTCTACATATTTGACTTAAAGTATCTTATTTTTCAGTTTTAAAATAATTTTCAAATTTTTAACCTTTTTATACCTTTTTTAACACTTTAATATTTTGCTCTATCTCTTTTAAACTGTGAAAATTATTTGAACAAATGTCTCTGCCAATTAAACTACCCTTTATATATTTGTAAAGCATTTAAATCAGAGAGCAATAGAAAAATTTTCATATAACTGAAGGTTGCAAAAAAATTATCAATTCACTTTTCCAAAAGAAATCCTCTTTATTTCTTATACATCTAATAAATTACTAAAAAGGATTTGGGCTCTAGAAACCTTAGCATGGCAAAAGTAAAATTTAAAGCTAAGTTTTCATTTGGGATTGTCATCTCTAGTTAGAAATAGCAAAAGTGAAAACAAAACTGTTTTCTAGTAAAATACTTTCATTTTGACAACTTTTTTGTTTTATTGATTTTTTCATAAGCTTCAGAGGTATTAACTCAGACATTTGCATTTTGCTTTATGATTTATAATATAATTAATATATCAGTTTAAAACCTTGAATTGTTGTATAATGACTCTTCTTTTTACACATATGGACATATTTTAAGACAACTGAATTTAGGGTTAGGCAAACAAAATCTAAATATTTAAAAAATAGTAGCAATTGAAAATGTACTAAAATTAAGACACACACATATATGATATATCTCCAGTTTTAAAAAAAGACATTTACTGAAGAAAAAAAAAGTAGACTTTGTCCATGCCAAATTTATCCCTCTGATAAGAGCACCCTTCTTAACTAAGTGGCTTCTGTTTTAAGCAAATATTTACTGGGAATGATAATAAAACAGTAGCATTCCAGGCCCATTGTAACTTTTCACTTTACTTACCAAGTTAGAAAGTTTTTAGTTACATTGCTCTATCCACATTATTAATCATTTTCCAAAATATTTTCAAACTTTAACCTGATGATTTAATAGTTTATTCCTGTTTTTATGTGCTACAGTTAAACATAAACACACATGCACACATATGATTAATCTTGTAATGTACAACAAAGGTTTGAAAAAAAATTGGAGTAAAAAAATTTGTCAAACAGAAAACAATGCATATGTGCCTGATTTTGAAAACTGAAGCCACTCTGTTAGAACCTGGCATATTAGTCCATGATTTGATATAATACATAGGTCTATTGTGGACATTGTCTAAAGATGTCTGTCAGAAGTACTGAAAATATCTTGTTATAATGTCACCTGTTATAGTCCCATGGCATAGACTCTAAAAATGGCATTGTATAAATTATTATAAATGCATAGAATTTAAACTGGTAGTCAAGAAAAAGCAAACTATCATTCATTTTTTAAAATTGCTTCATCAGGTTTCATTTGCAGTATTTCTAAAGTAAATTCTCACTCAGGTAATGCTGTCTACACAGCATCAAACATTCAGGAAATTTCAATATTGTTTGGATGGCTGCCATTGTATAGACACAACCTGAGTGAACACTAGTGATACTTTGTTTAAAAAAAAATAAAATGAGGTAATCCAAAAGTAAGTTCTTTAGGTTTCACGTCTAATTTTAGTTGTTGAAATGTTTTAATTTCTCATCTCATACCTGAAATTGTATTGAGACTCAATGGATGGTAGCTAAAGAGCAGTCTAACCTCCAACAGAATGGTTGCCAAAATCCCACGCATATATCCAAGTTCCTTTATTGTAGGAAACCAAAAGACTTGTTGAGATTAATAAGTGATTGAATAAAGTGTGTGGTGACTGACTTTGCTGTTGACATTGATTGAGTTGTTGGTTTCTGAGAGAATAATCATACTAAAGATATGGAGAAAGAAGTTGATGATTTACTTCGGGCATCACTTTCTTTTTTTGTATTTTTGCCTCATCTGAAATGCTTTTATGACTGCTGTTGTGTTTCCATCCATTAGATCTTAACTTACTCTAAGTAGGATAGGGAGGTTCAGCTGTTTTAACAAGGACCTAGGATTTGATGGGTGATGAAGGAACTAAAGATCAGTATGCCTTACTACCTGAATAATCCTAATAAAAACATTTTCATTTCTTTACATGCCTAATGAGTAACAACACAAAGTAAATGATTACACTATAATCATTGTGTTCATGGAAATTAATGTGTTTGTGAAAATTAACTTGTTAAGAGTAACCTGATCACAGGATTTTTAAAAAATCATTTCATTTTGCCTTATCCTTTATGCACATGGACTAGTCATTATCCTTAAGTGATGAAAATGATGAAATACTGCTATAACTGTAACAACTGAAAAATATGTAATTTGAATGGAGATAACTGACAGCAGAAATGTCCCATATCATTAAAAAACTAACCACTCAACATGTTCATGTAGGGTATAAAGTCTAAGTGTTTTGACATTTCTTTGGAAATTAAGACCTTCTGAATTATTTAGCATTTATGGACTAGAGCCCGGAGATAATGGGGCAATCATATCTGCTAGGATCATATTCTTTCAAAGAACTCCTAGAAATAGTTCCAAGAGGCATCTTGCTTGTATTATAGTTTGAAATAACCGGTGTAAGGGTACTATAATGTAATGGGCACTGTATGCCTTATTACTCTCTCTCAAATTTCACACCACTAAATCAGATGATTATTTCACTCCCAGTTACTTCTTCTCAGAATGTGATTCAAAGTTTTGTCTTGCTCTCATGGTTGATTGTTCTTGAAGTTTCCATTGTTCTTAGAATTCCCTCCTTGGTAGTCAAGTGGTTTGTTTCCCCCTAAGAGCAGCCTTAACCCTCTCTCCCCGTTTTATTGATACTTTTTGTCTTTACAGCACATCTTTACACCACCTCATTTCTCCAAATTGAAGCTCCATTTGTGACAAAGAAAAATAATAGAGCAAAACCATGGAGTATGGAAACCTAGTCTGACATTACACACAATATTGTATCCTAGCAGTTCCCTGCCTCTTTGCCATGAGGGAGCAGGTATGTTTCATTAGGACCTTCACTGATTTTCCCGTTACTCAGAATTCACCTTCCTTTAAATGATCTTTTCATTTACATTGTTGCTGTCATGTATCATTCTCTTGATTCTACTCATTTTACTCTGCATCCGTTCTAGTCTTAAATTTTTATTACTTCCTCTCCTAACAATTCATGTATTTTAAAGGTGTTATGAGTAGAAGCACTTAAAATGCCATGTAATCATTATTTGGGCAACATGAAACTTTTCTTTAGGTAGTTACCAATTCAGACTATTCTGAAAACTAATCAGTAAATATCTATAATTTGGGCAGCCACGTGGTACAGAGGATAGAGTGCTAGGCCTGGAGTGAGGAAGACTCATCTTTCTGAATTCAAATCTGGCCTCAGACACTTACCAGCTGAGTGATCCTGAGCAAGTCACTTCACCCTGTTTGCCTCAGTTTCCTCATCTGTAAAATGACTTGGAGAAGGAAATGGCAAACCACTCCAGCATCCTTGCTAAGAAAACTTCAAATGGGGTCATGAAGAGTCAGACACCACTGAAATGACACAACAGCGACAAATCTATATCTTCATCCCCCCAAAGCCCAACCCAACTTTAATGCCTCATCCTGAGGAGGCAACCCTGGGTTTTGAAAAGCTGGGTTAATAGAGGTCAGACTCAGATAGGTCTTAACAAACTGGAAAACCTCTGCATATAGGATCATTAGTGGATGACCGGCCATCAGGATGTGAATTTTTAAGTCATAGAAACTCATGAAATGCGGAAAGATTGTAATAAAGGGGTTTGGAGCTGAAAGAAGGTTTTAAGACCATACAATCCAATGACCTCATTTTTTATACATTAGTAGTGGGAATTCACAAACTGATGAAATCACAGATATTTCAAAGCTTTACAATATAAATTATAAAACAATTGGAAGATAAAGACTGCTGCCTAAAATTATTTTCTCCAACTCTTTAAATTTTTCCAGCTGTACTTCTAATTGTCCTCCATGAATTATCTTACTTTAAAAATCAGAGTTATATGCTAAAACTATCAGAGAATATCATGAATTGATATTAACATTTATAAAATTCAGTTCAAAGAACAGAATGTTGAGAAACTGATAGAATTCATTTTCAATTGACTTGGTTTTTATAGTTATTGCCAAGACCTTTCTACCAAAAATATGTAGAGATATTTCTTCACTGACTCAGTATTCTTTCCTCTTAAGCTAAATTCTTTCCTTCGATTTCTTGAAAGGATTATCTTTCTTTTATAAATTACTATTGGATTTCAAAATCATACTTTAAAATAATCTACAAAGAATTTGTTTCCCTTAGGCTTTATTTTTCAAAGCCCATCATTTACTGAAGTGAATGAAGCAGTGGAAGTTGGACCAGAATATGGCAGATACTTATGGGACAGTACCGGATGGGTACTGTCTTGCTGAACCTATACAGTATTATGGTATGTAACAAAAGTTTCCAATGGTAAAAATTAAACAAAACTTTTATACCCTATAGAAAATATATATAAGGTATAAAAACTTCTTTGGAAATTAACGTATTTACCCCAAACACCAAATTCTTACCTGCAAGAAACTTACAAGTATGCCAAAATAAGCAAATGTGTAGATATGATAACTCAAGTCTAATAAGGAAAATATATAACATTTAGAATACATTGTAGATAAATATAAAAATTAGGAATAATTTTAATGAGTACCTGCTCATGAAAATAAAGCTTTTTAGTAAAGCTTTTTAGTAAATTAAATAGACAGTAGGTAATCAAAAATACTTGTTGAATTAAACAGAATATATTAGTCTTGATATAATAAAGGAAATATACGAGAAAAGAGAATACAAGAGACTGAATGATTTCTTACTATGGCATACAAGTCACGACAGTGTATAATACTATATGTACATTTCACCTGTCAAAACCTGCCAGAAGACTGCAGATAGTATTAGTTTTTAGTCAGAGTATTAAATCTGATTTCCACAATCCTAAATCAAATAATTAAATCTCATGTTCGCATCAGGGCAACATAAGCGTCTAGAGCAGGGGCGGGGAACCTGCAGCCTTGAGGCCGCATGTGGATTATTTATCCTTAATAAAAGGATTTGTTCTATAAAACTTGAACTCGGTCAAAAGGCTGCACTCAAGGACCTAGAAGGTCACTTGTGGCCTCGAGGCTCCAGGTTCCCCACCCCTGTTCTAGAGGAAATAAAAAGTCAGATGTTTGTCATTTATGCAAAACAGGTGTATCCTTATCACTTAGATGGTGTACCTTAACACAATTTCCCTAGATATGTCAGTCAACAGTATTGCCTGAGCACCTCTTGCACCTATAGCACTTTACGAATTCATTATCATTTTCCTCCCCCAACACTCCTTTCTTCTGAAACTCCCTGTTATTGTCAAGGACACCACCATCCTCCCAGTCCCCCAGGCTCTCAGTCTTCGCATGGATTACACAACTCATCATACTCTCTCTTCCACCATATTCATTCAGTTGTTTGCCAAGTCTTGTCATTTCTACCTGCACAAATTTTCTCTCGTATATCCTCTTCCCTTTACTTGCACAGCTCTGTCCTATTGCAAATACTAATCACGCCTCACTTCTGGACCATTGCAACAGCTTCCTCATTGGTTTCCATGTCTCTCCCCGCTCCAGTCCTTGCTCAGGTGACAAAGGGATCTACCTAAAACTCAGGTCTGATCATGTCACTCTCTTCCTGGCTCTCAAAATTCCAGTGCTTCCCTGTTAAATGCCTGCTTTTTGTAAGGCACTGCAGTTGGCCCTGGGGCTATAGAGACAGAAACAGACTTAATATTAAAGGAGTTTACATGCTACTGAAGGGATATAACATGTACACAGATAGGTAAATACAAGATAATTTGAGGAGCAAAAGGGCACTAACAAGTAGAGTGAAATCCAACACAAAAATCTTCTTTGAAGTATCCAAGAAATTTAGACAAAAAGTGTTGTTTAAAAGACAAATTATAGAGATGATGTTTCAGTTCTGCTTTCCACTACCCTGGCCACAGTCTACTAAAATGATTTCAATGGGCTATGAAGGGAAATACAGAAGAGAAGAAAGGGAAATATACACTCTTGGTTCAGGGGATGATTGAGTTGAATAGATACCTCTAGAAATGGATTAAATATTTACAATTAACATTGATTGATGGCAGTTACTTTAGAATTTAAAAGCAGCTGTAATTTTTGGAATTCTTACATATAATTGTTCTTTTTTATTGTTATTTTTATGAAATATAGATGTAATGCCAGAACATATCAATTATCAGCTTCAGGACACTGATTACCAAGTGGCACCTTACTGTCAGTATTCAGCTGTCCAGTTTTCTCCAGCTTTACAGTCTCCACCTTCTCACAGTTACTACAATACATACAGTCTGGATTCACAGCGTAATGATGGGCAATACATACTCAGCACCAGCGAATTAAATAAACCCGCTTGTATGGTTACTCATGATACTGAGGATGGATATCCAGGAATAAGAAGATCTAAACTAAATCATTCTTCTGTGAGAATTAAAGGACAAGAGGAACTTTGTGTAGTTTGCGGTGATAAAGCTTCAGGATATCATTATAATGCACTTACCTGTGAAGGTTGTAAAGGTAAGGAAAATTAGAAAAAAACTGCAGTTCTATGCATGCAAACTAACATGACCATTTTTTCCTTTTTAAGTGGGCATTAGTCATTAAGTATATTTAACAGTCATTGAAGGTGAGATTAATAAGTGACAGTAATAGGGAAACATGTGATCAAATCTATGGCATTGAAATGAATCAAATGTGAGGAAGGGAGATCCAGTTTCTCATTTCTTTTGAACCAGAAATTTAACATTTAAATAAACTATTCAATATTTAAACAATAAATTTCCACTTACTTGAGTCTGAAGTTATAATATAAACTGCTTTCTATCATCTTACACTGGTTTAGCTAGTATACCTCTTCATGTTGGATTGAACGATTTTTACATTGGGTGGAAGTTTGGACATGTGAATTCTGAAGTCCTTTCCAACTTTAAGTTTCTATGAAGCTGATCAGAGGCCTGAAAGAGGCTGAAAGTGAATATGATAAATTGAAACCAGAATTTTGAAAGTATGAAAAATTACCCAGATAAGCTTTTTGAGCTTGTAAAACCTCTCTTCATTGCTTTGTTTTTATTTCCAAATGAACAAAACCTTGAACTGATGAAGTTGGTACTAAATAAGTATTTACCATCCATAGGAGGTGATGTATGGTATTAATAGGTAGAGTGCTCCATAGGGAATCAGGAAAAACTGCAATCAGCTCCTGCCTCTGACCCATCAACCCTCTGTAAGGCCAAACATTTAGATGCTCAGAACCTCAGTACAACTCACTAAAACTACAGGTGAGTTATAAAGTGCTTGACTTGATGCACTTACCATTCCTGGAAATGCTTTACGCAAAATGGGTGCTCTAAGGAACCTTATAAAAAACAGCAACACATCCCAGCACTGATTTTAGTGATGTCTAATCCCCATGGCAAAAAAAAAAAGGTTTGACTTTAGTTGCTGGAAATTGTTCACTTGTTTTTCAGTCATGTTCAACTCTTAGTGACCCTGTTCAGGGTTTTCTTGGCAGAGATATTGGGGTGGTTTTCCTTCCTTCCTTCTCCAGCTCATTTTACAGATGAGGAAACTGAGGCAAACAGGGTTAGTTGACTTGCCCAGGGTTACACAGCTAGTAAGTGTCTGAGACTGGATGTGAACTCAGGAAAATGAGTCTTTGACTTCAGGCCCGGTGCTCTATCCACTGGATATTAATTAATATTAATTGCCAAATATGACCAATGTATGGGACAGCACCATTTTGGATTCAAGAGGTTTTTTCATGCAGAAAAGGACTAGGAAAATTCAGTTTTAAGATAAATAAAAATATTCATAGAGAGGGATGCCACTTCCCCATTTGCTATTAATGAAAATCATCTAGTTGATTCTATTATTTAACCTTTTGATAAAGGGATACTGGGTCTGGATCTGATATTTTATCAGTGTAGGGGACCTCCAGGAGAGGAAATGCCTTCTACCAATGCATATAGGCAAAGACAGTTGACAGTCTTAAGAGAGTTGTCTGGTTTGGGGAAGGAGGAACACAGAAAAGCTAAGTGACTTACCCAGGATCATAAAGTCAGTACATGTCAGAGGCAGGCCTTGGTTGAGGCCCTAATATTTCTTAGGCCTCTTATTAATCCGCTATCCGTGCTACCTCTCAAATATTAATATTAAACATGATATTAATTGGTCACAAATATTCAGTGGTGGAATAAAAATAAGGTTCTTTTGAAATATCCTTTAGGTTTTTTCCGTCGCAGCATCACCAAAAATGCAGTATACAGGTGCAAGAATGGTGGGCACTGTGAAATGGACATGTATATGCGTAGAAAATGTCAAGAGTGCCGTTTGAAAAAGTGTAAGGCAATGGGCATGTTAGCAGAATGTAAGTGGCCTATTCTCAGTTTCTATTTTGATAATTTCTATATTCTTCTCTTTCTCCTTCTCCTCTTCCTCCTCCTCTTCCTCCTCCTCCTCTTCTTTGCCTTCTTCCTCCTG